ACACACCCACACCCCCGCGCGCGCGCGCGCGCGCATGCACCCAACACGTCCCGGGTAGAATCAGAACTGCCAAAGCCACACCTGCATCTGCAGCGCATTCTCCCAAATATCATATTGCATGTCCTTGGCACAGAACAGCTCGCGAAAGACATGATGTGTCCGTCTCGCAACGATTTTCTCGGACTGCTTGGAATCTCTGACTTGACGCTTACGAAAGCCGCGTGGCTGGACGGAGGCCTCTGGCCGTCAGACGACTGGCTTCCTGGAGGTCCAAGAGCTCCACGCGGCCCAGCTTGGTGGTGTTGATCTCCGGTAGCCAAACCCCGTTCTTTGGGATGACCTGTCAGGGCGTGTTAGGGTTTAGGGGATTGGGAACCAGCCCGTGACCGTTGGAGCATGAAGGAGATAAGGAGGGGAAACCGGTCAACCACACTTTCTGCGAAACAGGTGCCTGCCCATACTCGATCACACTGTACCGCGGCCCACAAATGGTTGCATACCCCGCTCTGCCAGCGCAGTATGTGTAGAGGCTGATCAGCTCCCGTCTAGTTATGAACTCATCATGCTGAATCCTCATGTTCAAGACCAACTGATATACGCAGCTGGACTGCCGGTTTGTACCAACACATTCCTCCTTCAAGGCGTGCTTCGGATCAAACTCGATGAAGTATTCCCGATACGAAGCTTCGGCTTGTCCACCAAATTGCGGTGCATCTGTGTAGAGTGGGCCATAATAGCATCCTCGTGGCAGTGGGAAGCCAGCAGCATCGTTCGTCCACATTTCAAGGAACAAGCTGCCACAAACAGCCTGACTCATGCTTTCGGCCGAGACTGTCTCATTGTCCTCCATCTCGACACCCGCAAACCCGGTTCGGCTAGTTTTCAACGGCACAGCCACTCGAGGGATCTCTCTTAAAAGGATTCTGAGGACGATGGCAGTGTCGCGCAAGTAGTCTTGCTTGCCCCGGGTAGGTGAGAACGAGATAACCACGGGAGCCTCCGTTCCGCTCACCCAGCTCGTGAAGTAAACACCCGCATCCGCCATGGTAGCCGGAGTGATGAATGTCAAAACACCAGCATCGCTGTAGTATTCCTGGCAGCACGACCATGGTGAATGCACAAGCGGCCCTGATTTCGTGCCTGTGCCCCCTCTTAGAATCAGCAACGCTCTCGTGAGTGCATGCCAACTCCTCCAACACAGGCCGCTGATGGGCCAAGCACTGTCGGGGATTTTCTGGGGTTTGTGTTATAATTATATAAAATCATCAACACAAACAGTTTCTTGGCTGTGGTGATCCACAGCAATAAATAAATACATTAATATAAATATTGAGATATATATATATATGTATGTATGTATTTCTTAATTTATCTATCTATTTGTTTGTTTATGTTTATATATATATATATACAATTACATATATATATATACATATATTGATTGTAGGAATGCAGCAGCCGACCAACAAAGCTTGGTCCATGAGAGTCTGCCGCTCTGCTGCCATGGCTCCTGCGAGCCGCCATCATTGGCTGCCCAGCAGATTCTCAAGGTCGCGGTCGCCTCGGCTTTGATCTCTTGATTTGTCTGCAGCCGGTTTCGTCGATGCCAACCACCTGCAGGGAATGTTGAAGGCTGCATGTAGGGAAAGCACCTGACTCAGTTCCAACAGTGACCTTCCCGCCTTTGGCGTCGACAAACGTGAAAACGGGTGCATCTACTCCGTCTGCCCATCCTACTGGAATGCTGAGCTTATTGGTCTCGTAAACCTGGCCAGATCCAGCAGCAGCGTCCACCAAAGAAATGCGGTTCCACAACATCCGGATTTTGTCGGGCTCATCCGCAAAGTTGTAAAACCCTGAAAGCTTGGAAACCAGGTACCGTTCAGTCTCGGTCCAAACATTTTGCCCACGGCCATTTAGAAGGATTGTTGCTTCATCCAGCGTGATGGCATCGCCATCCAATAGCTCCGAGGTCACGTCGCCACTAAACTCGAGAATTGTCTTGAACTCTTCCAGGACAACGCTTTCAATGTACACACCTGTCGTCTCTGACGATATGAGCGACACAGGGATGTCTTCATCTCCACGCGGAAAGCGACACGACTCCCCATCAATTCCCGGGCAACGTAGCCGATATGTGTCAAGAACGCCTCGTGGACACCGCAAGACTCTGCCTACTCTGCATACTGCAATACGCACGCATCCTGGAAGCTCTCTCTCCGGCCTCCGGGGTTGTTGCCGTTCTCCGAACAAGACTGTGTCATGGTGATGAGCCGGAGAGAGTCCTGAACTCGTCCAACGCCTCTGTTCTGGCCGAGTGCCGCACGTTGCGCAGTCCTGTGTGGTGAAGCCCCAGCCATCCAAGTCAATCCGGACTAAAGTCTTGGTGGGGAGCTGCCTGAGCTGCAACGATCACGAGTACCGCTCAGCTGATCGAAGGCCAAGCGCACTTGCAGGCAGGTTGCACGAGCTGGCCAGAACGCGTGCCCTTCACCCTGCAAGCTTACAAGTGAAATGCCAATGCTGCGTGCGGGGCTGTGCTGGGACACGCAATGACGCGAGCGCACGGAAGGCTGCACCTCTAGACATGTATCACAACAAAGCTCGCTTCCAGGCGACATGACCATGGCGGCTAAGATGTAGTCATTCGACTCAGCGCAGTTGTCGTCAGCATCCAAGAATGAGCCTCAGGCGACCACCCCCTCGCCCCTGCCGTCAAGATCCTAGGCTTGTTCGCCATCCGGCTTCGAAGTTCTCACTGCGGCGCATCGCCTTTTCCATACTCCGTCGTCCACATCTGCGCGTCCCATGTTCAGCCCTGCTCCAGCCGGGTGTGCGGTGCGAACCCCCGGCTCGTCACTGCTTGTCCCATAGGCCGCAAAGCGGCACAAAGTCTGCACCCCGACATCTCGCCGAATTCGAGCAAGGAAGACATGCTAATTCATGTATAAGCAGAAGATGCAAAACGGAAATAGGTCTCTCCCAATGTATCTCGTATCACTCTCGTATCAGTTCTGTCTCAAAGGTGCTGAACCGGCTTACATGTCGGAGAGTCTGAGCGAAGCCGCCCCTAAAGTAGCTTGGCCTGGGTGGGGTTCACCTCCGGGGTTGAGGGGAAGGGCACGGGGAGACGCGGCCAGTCAACAACACGCACCTGAAGATCAGGGAAGATAAGGCTGACAACAGCAAGGACAGGGCGGCATGTAAAGAAATGCGTCATCTCAAGGAAAGACCAAGGCCGCCTTGCATGCAAGCAACAATAACAGACTGCATACACGCCAGCTGCATAGAAGAAGAAGGTCTGGTCGTTTTCGCTACCTCAGGGCTGCGGATAGCTGCGCCTATGCACAAGCACCGGCCGCACACGCGCCTGTGAAGGGCAAGTACTGGGAGGCATCCGGACCGACCCAAGCCATGAACTGCTTCGAGTTTTCTTCGGTACTGGGGCCGTTGATCGCGGCTTCGTCTGTGGAATTGTAAGCGCAGGAATCCTTTCCATGGAAAGCTGGTGACAGACAAACTACCGACTGGCTTCGGCTTGCTGCAATCTGCCAAATCTCTCATCACATAAACTCACGAAACATTTCACCAACAATGCGCAGCTGAGCAACATCCATTCCCCGTCTCCCCCTTGCAGTGTACTCCCGGTGTAGATTCCAAAGTTGCTCTAGTGTGACTGCAGTACCTAGGTGAAGAAAAGGCGGCTTCAGCAATGCTGCATCTGCAAAACATCAAAGGTAGACCGCGTGACATCTACAGGCCACAAGCCTAAACCAAGTCGCCGTCAGGACCCGGGTAGTTCGCAGTATTGTCGTAGGAAAGGATTTTCATCGTAGTCTTCCGTCGCCAGGACAGGCTGTCGTAAGGATGCATGCCTCACTGGCACATGGGACACTTCTGCTAGCTCACCATTGACGCTAAGCTGGGCACGACCTCCAGTTCGCTTGTTTTCGGACACTGCTACTGGGCAACGCAGCCGGAACCCGACAGAGATGTTGCCCTCTGCTTGTTTGCGGACGAGCCCAGCCTCTTAGCAGACCGAAAAGCTATCAATTCTCGCTTTTCGCAGTGTCATCCAGGCTGTTCCAGATGCATTTTGGGTTGGTTTGTTGATGACGAGGGGCTGCAGAATCCGGAGTTACCCCGCAAGAGGATTAAACATGTTCTGGGTTAGCGGCGTGTTGCAGCTACTCTTCGGTGTGTGTTCCCAGGCTTTTTGCGGCACTTTCTGGGGATATCGTGAATGTTCCTCTGATATCTCCAGGAGTGCGACTGTGGTCGGCTTCTTGCAGTCGCTGCTCAGCCCACGGCCTTCCGAAATGTTGGAGCGAATCCCGCCAAAAAGCCTTGCAGCTTGCAGAAACAGAGCTTGAGATTAGAAGGACAGTGACAATGACAATGCCTGGCATGGACGTCCCACATCAAGGGATCCCAACAAGCGCAAGTGCTGAAGTGCTGCAAAAATGCGTGATGCCACCAGGCTTACCCACGTACTCCACCGTCTGAATCGGCTGGATCAACTGAAACTCGTCGAATGGCTTTGACCACCTCTCAGGCAGAAATGTCGCATCGATGGTGCCCGCAGCGTTCCTTGTCCGCTTGGCCTGCCTTGCAATGCCGGCAGTGTCCGCAAATCGGATTCTGCCCACTTCGAAGTAATTGTAAAAGTTCCAACCTGCACAGTTGTCGTGCGTACGTATGTCTGCTGTTCTTTACTTCAGCAGCTGCTGCTGCTGCTGCTGCTGCTGGTACTGCTACTGCTACTGCTACTGCTACTGCTGCTTCTGCTGCTGCTGCTGCTGCTGATGCTGATGCTGATGCTGCGGCTAAGCGTCACTCTGCGTCGCAATAGCACACTTGCACCTGCTCGCTCATCGGAAGTCTTCCTCAGATGGCCGCTCGAACAAAAGCTTCAGCGGGCAGCTTGTCCTGTAAGATGAGCTAAGCAGCCCAAAAGGTAAGGGTCGTCCCAGAACTTGTAGTCACGCCTGTCACCTGAGGGCCCAAGTTCAAAGATATTGGCTTGGGAAGCACAGATTCTGCCTCCAAAGCGATACGTTGCAGGATCGACTGGAATCCCATCATCATCGAACTTTGGAGGATAGAAAAGCATCTGCTCGCTTACCTTGCTGCAGTCTGATGACGGTAACTGCGGTGCTAGGAATGGCGAGATGACAAGTTGCCGAAGCGACAGTCTATGCCGGGACACCGCCGCCCCTGCACGGCAGCGCGAATTCGGGTCCCAAACCGGCAAGTTGGTAATGGCTTCTCCAATCGCGCAGACTGGACAAGTGCCAGGTATAAACTTGATCTGGTTCCTCGTGCGACATGTCTGCAAGCCCCCATGCGATCAAGCTCAATGGAGTTCTCAAGCTTTCAATCTGTCGAGACAGGGCAGACAAGGCACTGAGAGCTTCCCGAACAAGAGCTGCTACCCGGAGGGCACTGCAAACGCAGAGCGAAGGGCTGCTGCGGCAGTACTCTCATAAAGGGCTCAGCGACAACACCACATCCTGCCGTTCCACCCACATCACCTCGAGATCTGGCCGAGCCCTCGTGGGTAGCTTCGCTCTAAGGGCCGGGCTCCCAAAGTTGCCCCCGACCGTGATATTCGGCTGCTAGGGGGTGGGAAAAGATTGTGGCGAAGCCTGGCTCTCCTGGCACAGTGTCCTAAGTCAAGTGGCAAACTCGCAAGAGCCAGTAGTAGAGCACGCCGATAGGTTGGATGAATTCGCTGGCCTCAAGACTCAAGGCTCAAAGGAGATCATGCACCACGACTGGTTGTGTAAAGCCTGTACATGAAGAAGCCAGGCGGCATGGTCGCACGGGTCGTTCGTAGGATCCACGGGGCCGTCGTAGCTGGGGCAATAGCACACAGACATCGTGAGGCTGTCCACTGCACTTTGCCGGCGGAGACGGGGCATCTCCAGTGGAGTAAACACATCGGTAATGAAGCCCATCCCCGTGGGAGGAGCCCATGCAAACTCTTCAAAAACGGTAGTTTCCGGTGCGATGTACTCCGCAGTCACCACGTCAGAGCAGCGAATCCGGGGGGCTGGAATATATTCCCCAAAGAGAAACGTATCCCGATCCCAGGCTGCGGTCCAAGCAGACTTGCTGGCAGTTCCTGCTTCAACTGTCCAGCCCTCCCGGCCACCCCCAAAAGCACGGAAGTCGATCAAGCAGTTGCTGGTATCCTCCCCAAAGTAAGAAACATAGCAATCCCAACGTTCTTCGGCAAGACAACCATTTCCCAAACAAGGCGATGCGACTCCTATCACCCGAATGTCCACTGGCACGATTGCATTCAAAAACTCATTGCCTGTCATACTGCCGTCTGGGCTGTAGCAGACCCTGTAGTACCCACCATTCATGAAGGTGGTATGTGGAAAAATCGTCGATGCCCCCAGGACCGTGTTATCGGCTGTTTGCGATCTCAACCGCAAAAGCCTTAGCAGCACCATCAGAATTAAACGAATTGCGGCGACATGCAACGAGACTACCTTACAAACCACCACCTGGTCACTCTATGCAACATCAACGTTAAGCTTCCTGCGTCCCTTCAGCCAGAGCAGAAGCTCCATAAGTAGGCAACACCCTTGGCACGAGGCTGCGTGACATTGAGAAGAAGCACAACGACTGCCATCAGCCTAGGCTTGAATATTCTGAGACCATCGGAGTCGCGTCGAATTTCGCACCAGGGCCATAGGAACATTGTAGGGCTGCCTGGAAATACAGAGCTAGCCAACTTACTCAAACCAGGTGCACACGCTGGTACCCTGCGATCCCACGCCTGGAACAGGATTCACGTTCCTGGATACTGGCATCCACGAGCTTTAGGACAGCCTGCTCTCAGGGTCTTAGCGTGACTGCAATGACATGACATCAGCAAGTTCCAGTAGAGACCATCTGGAGCCAGCATAAGGGATAGAGCACTTCCCGCCACAACGGAGACTGCCTCCTGATGATCGATGCCAAATTCAAACTCCAGCGGCACGCTGACTGACACCATACTGTACCTTGAGACAATACGCAAACACAGAATGCTGAGGTTGTGCTGGCAGCTGGCAGTGTTGCATCTGGGGCACCTATAACCAGCCAACAAGACCAAAAATGAAGACGCTGCTCCGCTGCCAAAAACGAAATCCTGCCAACGGGAGATGCTTCAGGCTTCAGCATGCAGCAGGCCCATGAGCCTGCAATGGGCTTTGGAAGGCCAGGCGTGTTCCAGTGGGAAACTCCCAGTCCTAAGGTGCCACATACCAAGCATCAAGAAAGCCGAGCTACTGGAAGGAGTCCGATGCCGCCCTGACCTGCCAAGGCTCTTCCTGCGGAATGATCGACTCTTGTTCGTCTTGGAGACGCCGCATGGCCTGGCAGGCCGCCCACAGCACTGGCCCTGCCCAATTTAGAAAGTGGGCGGCAAGGAATGCAGCGACAGGATTTTGGTGTGCTGTGCAGAAGGCACTCACATCAGCGTCGACGCTTTTGATCGCACCTGCACCTTGTCTGCATCATGAAGATGCTCCCATTCCCTGCATGACGCAGTGTGAGGCACGCAATCATGGACTGAGACTGGCTCGGCCCGGCCTCCATCTTGACGGCTGTTGGGTGTCGGTGGCCTGGCCGGAATGATGGCCCATGGCCACGAAGCATTTTCTGTATTTATCTGTTCTACTTCCAGCCACAGCTTTTCGATCTCTCTCAGAAGAAACCAAAGGTCAAGTTCCAATTTCACGCAGCCGATTCCGGCGCGTTGAAGTGGGACTTTACAGTGTCATCCCTAGAGGCGCCTTCCAGGCTTGGTGCGGCTCAGCTCACTTCGAAAGCTTCGTGGTTCAGCACTTCGGGTGTGGAGTTACAGGGGTGCTGCTTCTTCTGGAAGATAAATGTGCCGCACCGGCACACGGCAGCTCGCCTTTTAGACAGCACAGGCTTTAGTGAAGCGTGGCGATTGCAGCTTGTCGCCGACAAAGAAGGTGACCAGACCTCTTTAGCCAGTACGGTCGGTGTCTGACAGGTTTTGCCTGCAAGTGCGAACGTCGGCCGGCTGGTCAAAACTGCATGCACTGTAGTTGAATTATATCGGCGAGGGCATGGACCTCCTGCACCGTTTGCAGACGAGTGGCCGAGTTTATGCACCGTCGTCAGCTGCGGCTGTGCATCATGTGAGATGCATACCCGTGCTGGGTCTCAGGTCTAGTCCAGTCGGGTCTTTTGAAGGACTGCTCACGATTGCATCACACAGTGTGACCTTGTCGTCAACACTGCGGGACACGCTGCAGCAACAAATGGATAGAAGTGGTTGTTGATCGGTGTCCTGGCACACCAAATTGAATTTGCAGGAGCCGCCCGTACAAGTGAAGCAAGCGGCCTGACCTTGTCTTCGGGTGCACGTTGGTCTCCACTGCAGCAGCAAATGCTGAGAAGAGGTTGCTCAGCGGCATCCTGACGAAGCCCAGCCGCCCGTGGATTAATGAGCTGCTGCAGGCAAGAGACTCTACCATTCTAAGTACCATTCTACAGGTGCCTATTAAGAGCCTGGAACTTCGTGTGCCCGTCATCAAACCACCGTCACCAAAGCCGCCACCACCACCACCACCACCAACAACAACACCAACACCAACACCACCACCGCCACCACCACCAACACCGAAAACACCACCAACACCAATACCCCAACACCAACCAACCACCCACCGCCGCCACCACCAACACGCCAACACCACCAACACCACAACAACCATGTGAACTCTGAACCGAACCATTCCTCGAGGAGCATGTGGACACAGAGTTTGGCACATCGTGGGTCCTCTGTCACTTTGGGTAAAGTCGTTTGGTGCTCTTCGGCATGATGGCTCCTTTGGTGCACAGCAGACTCTGGTTTCGGTGGCTCAGACACCGCAAGTTCAAACTTTGCATTTACGGCCAAGCACTGGCAACTGTGCTGCACTTGCCTGTTTTAAACACTTAGACTTACAGCTCATCGATGTTCCAGTGCAAGCTCGGACAGATTTAACAGCCAGGCATCGCAGACTCTGACAAGGCAAACGTGACACATCCAAACACGATGAAAGCTGCGCCCACGATGCTCACGGCACCTCAGTTTAGTCCCAACACGACAAGATTGCAACTGCAAACGATGATGGTGGTTGAACATGAAGGCCAGGCGATACAGTGTGCGCGTTTTGCCACAACAGCACTTCCTAGTTGCAAGTTCTGCACAAAGCGGAAGTGAAGGTTGGATCTGCCATCAGCCCCGGGCTATGCAGAACTTATGCGGAACTGCGTAGAGGTAAAGTACAGGAAATGACATACTCTCGCAAAGAAAGACTCCTTATGCGGAGGCCGCTTATCAAAGCCAACCCACCCAACCTACACCTCAGCACACCCCACCCCAGCCCAGGCACCACCACCACCCCGTTCCACTTCGCCCGCCCCCACGCCGATGGTGTGGGTTTGAAGTCTGGGGGTTCAGACTTGTTCGGGTGAGGCAATTTTGTCAGGCTGGGTGGCTGCAAACCTTTTCACCCGACGACTGAACCCCGCCGTTTTCAATCCTAAAGCTAAACCCTGATGCACCTAAACCCACTGAGGGACCGGAAACCTTCCAGTCCAGGACAAGCCAAGTGAGTCCTGGAGATTCCCAAGGTGGTTTGTATCGCTGCTTTGCTTGTGTTGGCTTGCATTCTTGTGAAGCATAAGACTTTTGGTAAAAAAGTTTGCCCCCTCAGCGCAGTGCCCATGACCCCAACCGCCAGCCAAATACCCCTCACGAATATTAGTGCTTCCTACCGTTTGCGCTGATCCAGCTTATAGAAGTTCTTGTCCCTGTATAGCAAGACAGAAGCCGTCTACAAAACCAGCCGAAACCTGTGGGTCATGCAGACTGCAGAGCCACGGCGAAAGTTGGTAGCGGCCGGGAACCGATTCTTGTGAGACGGCTTCTGCTCTCCAAGATCGCACGAGGTTGGTTGGTTCAAGCATCCGTCCGGGCAGTGGCCGGTAGCAAAATTTGTCGCATGCTGTCGCGTATCGCCTCGCAGCGCCCTTTCTCGTCTGAGGTCTCTGCCGAAGAAAAGTGTCTGAGAATCATTGGCACCCGTGCTCTTCGCTAGGGAGTCCATAACCTCAGCTGCACAGGAACCGGCCATGTCATTAGACAAGGGCAAAGTGGGTAAAGCAGCCAAAGAGCCACTTGTGGCAGAAAGGGTCCCAGTGAGTTGCCGACAAAATTGTTGGCGCCCTGGACAATGCCCGTCCCCAGGCTACGCACCTTCTCATTCTCCACTGAGTTGTTGCAGACGATCCTTGGTGGTCGCCCATACCGTATTGGACCCGAAGCTGTTGTGGGATTCTGCGCAACTCTGCTTGAGCGTCAAGTCTCTGAATGAGGCCGGTTGTTGCAGCAAGGCCCATGCAAAGAACTATGATGCCACCCCAGGTGAGAGTCAAGGTCAAGGCTGTCAAAGCATATGACGACTCCATCTGGAGCAGTTGCAGAAGCAGTCCTGAGAAAGGCAAGCCGGGCCGTGACTCTTTCATGAAACCTCCTTTTCTTGTGGCTCCTGCGACGGTCATCAACGCACCCAGGCATGAAGCCGCCATGGCTTTCTGTAGGAAGATGAGGATGCGGTGGATGTCCTGGGCCTTTTCCAGGTTGCTGCTGAGAGCAATTCCGATGGCACCACCTGTCACAGAGGTCCAAGCATGTCTACAAGAAATGCTGCCTATGCAGGAAACGATCAATGCTGCACGCGATCGTAGTTCTGAGCCTGCACATCGCGGCCCTTTCTACAGCTCTGGCCTCCACCGGTAATCGCCAGGAAGCTCACAGTAGATATCTGTCTCTCCATTGACCAGAGTTGGATAAAAAGCCGAATCCAAATAAAGGCAAGACCAGCATTGATGTAGTTGGAAGAGGCGAAGGCCATGGTTGCCCTGCAAAAAAGCTTGTTCTTCCACAGAAGGGACAGCTGCTCGCCCAAAGGCACGTCCTCAGCGAGTCTTATGGTATTCAATAGATTCCCAGGACGTCCTCTCGGAGTGGTAGGTCGACCAGTGTCCATGTCCGCATTCTGCACAGTCTCGCCGTTTCCTTCCGATCTGTTTGAAATGTCGGACATGGCGCGGAGGCGCTTTTCCTTATCAGGACCGAAATCACAAACCCAATTGTGTTGCCTGTGCACAAGTGCAGGCAGGCCAATGCTTGCCGCCAGCTTTCAGACCGAACCATTTCGTCTTTTACTTCGGAGCTTCGGCCGGCACCTGAGCGACTACTTTTGCTACGATGTCTGAGTACTCTCGTGTCGCTGAGAAGATATGAGCCCTGGACTGCTAATTGCAAGATCACCGGCGGGTGTCAGCAACATGGCCACGAACAGGACGAAAAGAAATGCTGCCTGAAGCTGTTGAGAAACAAGCAGATCTAAGAGAAAATCATGGCTGCTTGAACTGGCAGGGCCTCGATCTGGAAAGGGAGCGCATATGGAAAGTGATGTGCTGTGGTAAAGCCGGCGATCAGAATGCCAAGGCCTGCGGATCGGGAGTTGATTGCCCATACCCACGGAGTCACTGGTCTACGAAGCAGAAGAACATCTTGCCGTCTCAAGCGGGCATTGTGGGTCACTCTACTATATTATACTATATTACACGATACTATACTATACTATAATATATTCTAACATATAATAATATGTTATACTATATTATACTATACTAGCCAGTCACGGAGCAGAAGTTTCCTCTCAATCCTAGCGACCGGCGCCGACGCCAGCTGCCACGCAACCTGAGAGGTTGATCCACGTTGGCAGCTTCTCTTCGGTCGCAAACTTCACGACCCAAAGCGGCATCCAGACCTGGCGAATGCCGCGGCAGCTGAAGCAACACTGTCCTACAAAGCTCTCCAGAACGTGTGAAATCTCAAGCAGAGGAGTCCGAAACGACACCGCCGGCTTTCAAGCCGGCATGTGTTCAGGCCGATGTCCACCAAATTGTAGGTTTGGGGTATATGAAGACTGTTACGAAGCTACCTTTTTTTTGGTTTGATAGATTGCACGCCCGACGATGACAAACACAATTAAGGCATTCGAGGTGTGCAGGCGACATGGAGCAACACTTCTCTGAAAGTTGCCCGGTGAGTCTGAGAACAGGCCTTTAAGAGTCAACGAAACAGAACAAAGTCAAGGTGCCCACTGGAGTCCTTCGGAAAGCCCGATCAAAAACTTTGCCGTGTACATGACGTAGCCTCGGTCGTGTGTTCAAGGCGCGATGGCTCCCGTGGCTTCCTGCTAGCCATGCCACAGTTCATGGTCAAGGAGAACACAGTGACAGCGACTGCATTCACGAAGAGACCTGTGGGCTGATCAAGGGGAAGCTCTGTGTCAGAACATCGCGGGTGAGATGCACGATGCAATTCCATGTTGTCTCTGCGCTTGCAAAACTGCACAGCCGCCGAGCCTAGCGTGAGGAGCAGCTTAGCAGGAACCATCTGCAGCACATACCCCCAAACTCCAGCTGACACCGTCATTCCAACCCTTGGCGGGCAGACTGCATTTGCCTAAGCGCCTGCCATCAACCAGTTTCGGCGGAGCTCATGCCATGCAACTTTTGCGACATTGTCCCGTAGAAACGGGGTAAGCGTCGGGCTTGTCCATCGCGCCCAGAAGACCCAATCCCGTCCGACTCCACCCCCCTGCCTCACGAGTTCAACAGGATTCGTTCAAAAGGTTCGGGATGTGCGAATTGGTGCAGCAAGTGATTTGAACACTTCTCACCTTCTGGATGGTGTCTACCGTGCCGGCAGTAGCTCCACCATTGTAAGCCATAAAGATGGGCACCGCCATGCAAAATAGCCAGAAGACTATGTCTTCTTTTCTGAAGTTTTCCATGGCTGCACCAGGGAGCCATCGGCGACTAAGAAAAACGTTACGGAACTTTGCGAAAGACTGCGGGGTCAAAGTCTGCTTAAGTACAGTACAAAATGAAAAGCAAGTTCTGCTTCATGGTCACTTGCTTTGCTGCTGTAGGAAGTCCTTCGCTCCATCCCGGCGTACTGCTGCTCATGCCGGCCAAGTACGTAACTGGGACCTGTGAAGTTGCGCTCAATCGCCGTTACTGGGGTTGAAAGACTCCTTTCTTGATGGCAGATGGACGCAAACAGGTTGTGTACAGAGGCAAAGCAAGGCTCTGACAAAGACGACATGACAAGAAGTCTGAAGCCTCGAAGGTTCGGATCAAGAGGCCGAGTGATAGCGCTATCAGCATCAGACCTGCCGTGCACGGACGCACAGTCATGAAGATTGTCCACCATTCTTTGGTGGCTCCTCGTCTATACATCTACTGGCATCATCCGTGGTGAACCAGAAGGAACATGGGGCCGTCAGCCTGTCAGTGGCTTGCCCTCTCGTGCACTCTCCATCAGAAAATCATCAGAATGCACCACTCCCTGCAACGTGCACCAATGCTTCCGGTAAACCAACACTCCGACGAAAGCCAAGTAGCTGTGCAAGGCGGCGGCATGTCTCCGGGCGCTTGCTTATGCAAAAAAAAGACACATATCACGACATAACTTAGCTATAGCCACAGCCATTTTACAACCTCCGGTTTTGGCTTTCACGAATTGAACCTTGTAGGAAACTTTGGAAGCCGCGGACTTCCTTCTGGAAGCACGGGGCCTCTTCCGAATTACTAAAGCTGCAGTGCTGTGAGCATCAAGCCATCGATGTGCCAGCAGTTACATGAGCAAGCCTATTACTTGAAAGAGCCAGTTTCCGATGGTTCGGATCATCACCTCTACTGTGCAGTGCCACGGACCGAATGCTACCTTCTGGCAGCAAGCGCAACAAGCACTCGTTTAGGGCGGTGCGTTGCGAACCTTCGTCGTGTGACCGAACACAAGGTCTTGCATGACCTTCACGTCTCGAAGCACTCGACACAGATGCACACAAGAGCAGCCACTGTCGAACGGACCTGCAAGCCTGCCAGGATGTGCAAGTGGCCATGGCATGCTCATGCAATACACAAGTCAGCTGTGGCATGGTCCTTGAGGCTTGTGGGGTAGGCCTGCAACATGGCAGCTATCAAACTTCGACAGGCACTGGATTCGAATTTCTTACCTGCATGGCTTGAGCTTCAGCGACAACGCTCGGACTTGCACTGCACCCTGCAACCACGGACAGGCAGAAGGCATCATGTATTGATGAACATATCATCTTTCGGGCCCGCGTCAAGGAAAGCGATGGTAGTTCCGGTGGCCAGCGATCTCCTGCACCGTCGCCCGTGTCTACATGGAAGAAGCACGAAGTCACGGCCTAAGCCTTAGCTTTTTCATGCTCTCCTGGTTCTACGCCAAAAAGGCATCTTCAGACCATTTGCCCGTGCTTGCGCAGCAACTCCTGCAATGCAATGGTTTTGGGGGTTCATTTCGCTTGACCGCACCATAGGGCAACAGGCTCCTCCGCATATGGTTTCCAATACTCGGCCGTGGAAATGCGAACTCCGAACGCAAGAGCCGTGCTGCGCAGCGTCACCTTTTTCTGCAGCACACATGTGACAAGTCTGGTCCACAGCACATTACGAGATGCCGAGAACGAATGACAAGGTGATTGCGTTTCGCCCTACTTGCCAGTCTTAGCAGATTCGCAAAACCGGCGAAAGGAACCATCTGCCGTATGAAATCTCCAGCATCAAACTCAGAGCTTGCAGCCTTGACTGATGATGGCTAGCTAGCAACAGATAGACATCGCCCTAGGCTCAAAGTCAAGTGATGTTTGGCCAACTCAAGTCGGTGATTGACACAGATCCTTAAGCACAGCCTTGCACCGACAAGCAAACGGGGCCGGCAGATCCAGCCTTGCAGATACAGTGGGAACCGAAACCCCCAAATTCAAAGGACAAGCCTTAGCCCGAAAAGGAAGATTGTGATCACGGAAGGGATGGAATACACCGCTTGGAACGCGGGTCCCAGAGATGGGCACGCTCCAGCACCCCATGGTTGCATGAAAGCTCGGCGGCCTTTACATCCGGTAGATGTCGCCCAGGCAGGGCGGCGGGCTTTATCCGCGGGAGTACAGTACGAGTAATAGTCGTTGTAGCAGTAGCAGAAGCAGTAGCAGTAGCAGTAGTAATCCTTGTAGCAGTAGCAGTAGCAGTAGTAGTAGTAGTAGCAGCAGTAGTAGTAGCAGTAGTAGTAGGAGTAGTTGTAAGAGTAGGAGTAGTAGGAGTAGTAGCAGTAGAGACCATAGCACCAGCAGCGCCAGAAGCAGCAGTGGTGGTAGTAGTAGAAGTAGTATTGCATTGCACTCGCTGCA